CCTATTTCTTCAATCATATTTTGATTGAAAATATCTATGGAATCAGGTTGCACACCCTTCATGTTTAATTATTATAAGTAAAATGCTGTTGTTAAATGCATGAGAGATTCGTTTTAAGTAGGAAGATTTGTTTTCTCGTAGCTACGTGTTTGTTTCTCCCACTTTCAAGCTATCTTGCAATATGATATCTTTTCATATAACTTTAGCTAAAGTTAACAGTTATGTCATTAAATTGACTAATGTTGTCAACAATCTATAGGGTTTATCGATTAAGAGAGACTAAGAACATAAAATGTAAGATAAAAGTTGAGGGTTCAAGTCGATAAACCCTATAGATTGTGTACCGCATTCGATAAAAGTAGAAAGAGATTGTGTACCGACTTCGATATGCTATAGGAACAAAACATAGAAACTACATTATGTTCATGCCTTCCTTTATTAGGTCCATTAGAACAACATGATGGGGAACAGTCCATATTTAGCAACTTATCCTCCTTTTTCTCTGAAGTGTTGATCATCTATATAATGATACTGGCAGTCGAAAACCATGCATATTTCCAGCATGAGTTCTATGCCGTTAATGTGTTAATGTGTCAATGCGACCATTTTCTTTCACCTCTTGGTTTTTTACCAGCCCTAAGGAGTAATAGATACAATTCAGATTCAACTGAAGCTGTCATGTTTCAGTATGTGCAATGTTTTCATATTTAAAGTACCGAAACAGGCATGTTTTGTCCTACATAATACATTAATTTATGCATGTGTGTATGTATATACACTAATCATTATTTAAAACAATGTTTAAGAGTTATTAATGAATTCCTGCATATCATCTACACCAACCTTTCATGTTTCGTATGAGTAAATACTGCTTTCGTCTTATTGGTTCCTTTTCTTTGTAGGTCTTCAATCGCCATCTAAGGGTCTGGATAAGTTCAAATCTGTTTTCAAGATCTCCAGAAAAACCTTCAACTACATCTGTTCACTTGTGAAGGAAGATATGATGGCTAGGCCGGGAAGTTTTACATTTTCAAATGGTAAGCCGGTGTCTTTCGAGGATCAAGTAGCTGTAGCTTTAAGAAGGCTAAGCTCTGGTGAATCACTGGTGATAGTTGGTGATTCTTTTCGGCTGCACCACTCGACCGTCTCACAATTGACCTGGCGCTTTGTGGAGGCCATGGAAGAAAGGGGTCTTCACCACCTGCAGTGGCCTTCCACCAATGCGGAAATGACAGAAATAAAGTCCAAATTCGAAAAGATTCAAGGACTTCCCAATTGCTGTGGTGTGATTGACACTTCTCACATTATGATGTGTTTGCCTTCATCAGACCCTGCAAGTAAAATATGGCTCGACCATGAGAAGAATCACAGCATGGTCTTGCAGGCTATTGTGGATCCCAAAATGAGGTTCAGGGACATAGTCACTGGCTGGCCTGGTAAAACCGAAGACTGGGTGGTGTTTCAGAATTCGAACTTCTATAGTCTGTGTGATAAAGGGGAGAGATTGAATGGGGGAAAACTCGTGCTCCCCGAAGGATCCGAAATAAGGGAATACATAATTGGAGATTTTGGCTATCCTCTTCTACCCTATTTCGTTATACCTTACGAGGGGAAAGAGCTACCCGAGTTAAGAGCCGAATTCAACAAAAGACATTCTGAAACGCGGCTGGTGGCACACAGGGCATTGGCAAGGCTCAAGGAAATGTGGAAGATCATCCAAGGGGTAATGTGGAGACCTGACAAACATAAGTTGCCGAGGATAATCCTTGTTTGCTGCATGCTTCATAACATCGTCATCGACTTGGAAGATGACGTGCAGGATGAAATGCCTTTGTCTCACGATCATGATTTCGGTTATCGCCAACGAATTTGTGGATCCGTTGACATCAAGGGTGTTCATCTAAGAGATAAACTGTCTTTCTACTTATCCGGGAAATCGCTAGAATAATTGATCTCCATTTCGGATTCCTGATACAAAAAGGTCCAAATTTGATCTTTCATGGACACAGACAATCATTTTATTGAAGTTGGTTTCCTTTTGTTTAATTCAACAGTGTAAAGTTAACGATATCATTGCATTTTTTTTTTTTTGTACAATGGTCCTAAAATCTTGAAGTGATTGTTGAGCCGGTTTCAAACCGGAATTTCTCTGCATAACCAAAGAAATTGCAAGAGCTCAACACGCATTCAATCAATCGTGACCTTGAAATGTCTTGGATCAATCGTGACTTGGAAATGTCTTAGATACAGCTGAATTTGTATCTATCTTAACCATGGTGAGGTTATCGATACCCTAAGTAAGGGTATCAATAATAAGCTAATTTTTTAAACATCGAAGCTAAATTTTGGTATTGGTACTAAGGATAGTATCAATACCCTTAGTACCAATACCCCAGAGTGCTAGTAACAATAATCCAATTAAGAGTATCGATACTATTAGAACCCTTGAAATTCCATCGGCTTTCTAGAACCAGTATCGATACTAAGAGGCCAGTATTGATACCCTCATCTTGTTTTGGGTAAGAAGTCAATCTCATCTCAAATATATTTGTTAGGGGTCAAAGGTCATCGAAACTTCACAAATAAGATTTCAAGTGAGAACAACACAAATGTTTATAGTTACACTTAGAAACGATATAAATTTATAAAACTAGTCTTATTTGATGCATGAGAAACAATCAGGACACTCATGTTACTCTAGTAGCGGGAAAGTCGTTTGTATGTTCAGACATGTCCCAGTTAGTGCACAAGGCACTTCTTTGTTGACCGAGTGTAGATGCCACAAGTACTTGTAAGAAGTAGGTTGGTCAGGTGAATGCTTCCAATGTAGGAATTTCGGATCTCACCCTAGGTAGGCTAGAGGGGTGTGTCTCTCTGAGATGTAGCGAAATCCTCCGACCACACCAGGATGTCTACCTTTGTATGTATGTTTAGCTTTTCATATGCAAATATTTATGTTTGCTAGTATAGTCATGTAGTGGATACATGTGGTATTGTTTGGTTATTAGTATGGCATTGAGATTGTGTGCTAAGTGTTAGGAATTTGTTTCTGTGCACAAGTTCTTAGGAGGAGCTTTCAAGTAGCTTATCACACAGTCCGTATTCCAGACCGGCACGAGCTTCAGAGTACGTCTTGAGTCTTTATTAGAAGGCATGTATTGTATATAGACCTTCTTGTAGTCGAGTCGTAACTATATTTTGAAATACTCATTTAAAATAGTTGGATGTATTTTAGGGGCTTTGTATTTGTAAACTCAAACACTATGCTTTTATTTATTTATTATGGATGACTTTCAAATTGATGTTTAATTGTTTTAAAAAAGAAAATTTTGGGTTCGTCATCTCGGTGGTCTCGTGTAGCATAATCTTCGGGTCATAGTGGATTAGGAAGTTACAGGAAGAAAAACAAAAATCTATGACGGACGCAGGATTTTATGTTAAGGGGCAACCTGAATTTCAGGGTACGAAAATATGTTTTCAATAGAAAATACATGGAAAAAATAAAATATATAGTAATTCTAAAATTTCTGGGGGCTACTGTGCTCGTTCCATCCATGAATATATCTAAATTATGTGACTTAAAATTGTAAAATTAAATAATGAGTATTAAATATATAACTAAGTATAATATACGAACTAATGACAATTTTATAGATATCATTCAAGTCAAAATCAAAATTTAAATTTAAAAAATACAGAATTAAAAATTTATCAAATTAAAATAAAAAAATTAAATCTACTTTTTTATGTATAGTACAAATGTTAATCCTAGAATTTAACTAAAATTAAAAAAAAATGTAAACATAAAACGCCTTCAGCTCCCTTCTCTTTTGACCTATCAACCACCTATTAGAAAATGAATTTTTTAAATTTTAGAAAATGAATTTTTTAAATTTTAGAAAATGATATTTATATAATTTAAAAAAAATGAAAATATATTATCAATAAAAATAATAAAAAAATATTTAAAATATATAATAATTTAAATTTTTCACGAATGATTATTATCTATACATGCCTCCTCGATCCATTCTAGTGTATTCCCAAACCAATTACAGTTTCAAGTTAATAATCCGCTCCATGTTTATAATAGTTTCATGTAAAGAATCGTCAAAAATTGCAGGAAGAAATGTGCAAAGAATCTAGGGGTAGAGAAATGGGCTGAATTGGGCAAATAATCTAGGCGGATGGATTATTTGACCCAATATGACAACAAGAAATTTATTTTAGAATTTAGGGCAAATGTTATAATGACCATGAAACTCGTCATATCGGTATGACGAGTTCCATAAGATATATTTTTTAATAGGTCGTGTCATATGGGTCTTATAGCCCGAATCATTTTAATATATCTTATAGGTGATGAATACCAATAAAAAATTTTGAATTTTTTAAAAAAATTAAAAAAATATTATTTTATCCCTGATGGAATTCGTCACGTTGGTATGACGAGTTCCAACGGGAATAATTTTGAATTTGTTGACAGTTGGATTGGCCGTTGTTGACCGGTTAAATTTATAAAAAAAAAATCAATGGAACTCATCACACCGGTGTGATAAGTTCCAACGGCTATTTTCAATTTGAAAAAACTAGTCGTTTATAATCGTTGGGTAGGGTAGTATAAATAGAGATTTGAGTTGGATTGATTTTTCACTTGGAATCAAACATTCTATCGAGAGCAAAAACTTTTGTGTTGAAGATTTTGTGTTGAAATGGCCTCGAGAGAAGAAATATTACGTCTTGATGATGTGCATATTTTGTCGATCAAGTTGACTACAGTAACTTTAATTTGTTTTATTTCATTTTAGTTTTGAGAAAATTATAGTATTAATATTAATTATTTATGTAATTGTATTAAATAATTTATTTTTAAATTGTAGCGAGAAGAACGAGCCATTTGTCATTGAGGAATGACGAATTAAGAGCCACATGAGCAGAAGGTGATATATCTTTCATGATATGGATTATATAAAGCGACGTTTCTTCACGGATTTAAGGTGATGTCGGCACTGATATCGACATTAATTGAGCGTTTGAGGCCTGAAACACATGTGTTTCATTTTCCTTGTGGTGAAGTGGCAATAACATTGGAAGATGTCGTGTATCAACTTGGCGATCCGATTAATGGTATTCCATTGGTGCTTCGCAACACTTATTCACTAAATGTTGTTATTTTAAATTTATTAGGAAATGAGGCTCCAGTCGATGTCATTGATGGGTTGCGAATACTGATGACGTGGTTGGAAATAGAATTTAGAGTAAATGAACAATCAACGGAGCAAGAGGTGATATTTGCAGCTCGAACATATCTTATGACGTTGATTGGAGGGATCTTGCTACCGGATAAATCGGGCAATTTGGTGCATACCCAATATCTTCCGATAATGGAGGATTTAGTTGTATGTCGCCAATATAGTTGGGGTTCTACAATTTTGGCTTTTTTGTATCGTGAACTCTGTAAGTAGAGGTGGGTATACGGGCTACCCATCCGTTTAGCCTGCGGGTTTTGACGGTGCGGGCTTAAACAGATCGGTTTAAAAAGCCTACAATCATAAACGGTTTTGAATTCTAAGACTCGCAGCCCGTCTATTTAACTCGCGGGTTAAACAGGCTTACCTGCGGCCCGTTAAATAAAAATAATTTTAAATGCTTTAAATGCAATAAAAATAATGTTCTAATTTGCTACACCTTTAAAAATGATCCAGTAACTTGAAAAGGAAGGTAGCACCGTCAAAAAATAAATAATATTTAAATTTTATTTTAAATAGCCAGAAATGATTATAAAATAATATTTTTTTTAATTTTTTAATCATTATATATATATATATATATAACAATATAATTACATAAACTCAAATTAAAAAAACAATATTCACTTATATCACCAAATTGAAAAACAAATAAAACAATAAACATATTATACTTTTATAAAACACGATTATTCAATGCTATAATATGAAGACACATAAGTGTTTGCAAGCAGAAATTCAAACAGAAAAATTCAACAAAGTCAAACATTATACATAGGCATGTAAACGATGTTCATGTTCGTTCATTTAATAAATAAACGAACATAAACAAACAATTTTTTTTGTTCATGTTCGTTTATTAAGAAATATAACTTGTTCATGTTCGTTCATTAAATAAATAAACGAACATAAACGAACACGAACATAAACGTTGGAGACCCTACTAGGGGTATAAACGAACCGAGTCGAGCTCGAGTATTGCTGAGCTCGACTCGAACTCGAAAACTTTCAAAGTCAGCTCGACTCGACTCGAAAACTCGCGAGCTTAAAATTATCAAGATCGACTCGAACTAGAAATATAATATTGAAACTCAACTCAAACTCGAAAAGGCTCAAACTCAAAAAAATTTAAGAGCTCGATTAAAACTCGAGACTCGAGCTCGATTGAAGTTGCCCCAAGCGCAAAGATGCTTAAACCTATTCTCCCCCATCTTCTTTTATATAAGTTACCAACCCCGAGCTACTTGTTTGCGACTGGTGTGGGATTGCATAACGTTCCTCCACTTTCTTTCTTCATCTCTCCTTCAACAACAGTCGAGATGAACACATATTGTGTTTCATGTGATTGCCGACCTTAATCCTTGGGGATCAAACAAACATGTCCTTAGCTTCGTGCTATGTAGAAGTTGAAAATTGGGAGATGAGAGAAGTAGGTTAGTTTATTGTTCACACCAACTCATACATCAAAAACCATTCTTTCTCGGCTAGCTAAACTTCCATATCCGGATGGCGCACAAAATTTGTTTGATGAAACGCGTTAAAGAACTTCTCAACCTATGGAATAAGGCCTCATCATTATTGGGACTCCTCTTTGCTTATCGGATAACCAACTGATGCCGCAGTCACATAGGGTTCTGGCACAGTGAATGTTGTCGGTGCTGGGTATGCAGCTTATGGATCATTCAAAAAGAACTAAACCATGTTAATATTGGTGGTTTTCCAAATAAAATTGGGTTAATTATGGAATTGGTCATCGGAATATCAGATTAATTAATATTTTTAAGATACTTACAAATTGGTCACCAAAATTTATTTAAGAAGATTGGGTTAAACATAAATGACTGAACATAACCGAACGTTCACGAACATAAATGAACGAACGAGATCTATGTTCATGTTCGTTCATTTAATTAAACGAACACAAAATCTTGTTCATGTTCGTTCATTTAATAAATAAACGCACATAAACGAACTTCCCGCCGCACGGTTCATGAACGGTTCGCTGAACGTTCAGTTCATTTACAGGCCTAATTATGCAAATCTAACAAATTTTCTTTTGTAAAAGCCTTTAAAAGTTGAAAAGTATGTTTTCAATTTTTTCTTTTACTTTTTTTTCTTATTTTTAATCCAAATATTACGTGTCATGTGATATATTATTAGAATATCACGTGACTTTTTATAATTAAAGAACGAAATGGATAACATACTTCATGAAAAAAATAAAGGTCAAAATTAAATAAAAAAATCTTTAGATACCAAAGTGATAATGATGTAAATTTTATAAGACTAAAATACTATATAAATCTTTTAATTTTTATTTTTTTTAAATGAAGAATAACTTGATACATTGTAAATGAAATACTATATAAATCTTTAAATTTTTAAAATGATGTAAATTTTATAAGACTAAAATACTATATAAATCTTTAAATACCAAAGACAAATGCCCTAATAAATTTAAGAACTACAATGGTTATAAGTAACATCATATTTATAGGTAATTTATTTTTTTCTATAACATTCTTTAAGTTTATTTTCTCTAAAATTTTATAAATTTTAAATTAAGCGGGCTATTACAGGCTTCGCCCGCGGTTATACTCATTAAACCCACAGGTTTAACGGTCCGGGCTAAAAATCCTGCAATTTAAGCGAGCTTCAGTTTTTATGTCCAAACCCCGCACGGATCGCGGGTTAAATGGGTAGCCCGCGGGCCTTAGCCCATATACCCACCTCTATCTGTAAGGCGACCATAGTCGTTGCAAGGTATCATCTCTCGTTTACGATGCCTATTACATCAGCTCCTATGGAGTTTCCTCTCGTTGCAAGGTAAATTCATATATTTAAAGTTTTTATATTTTTGAATATTTTTTAAATATTTTAAAAATAACAATAAATAATGTAATTTTTTTAGATGGCGACACTGAACAATCGATACAAAGTTGTCAGGTGCAACCAAAGTAGATATTCGGATGAGGATTGATATCGCCGGTAGATATGCGGTAAATTTTAATATTGTTTACACTAGCTTTGAAATTGTAATATTAATTGTTTAGTTATATTAAAATAATACTTTTAACAGTTTAATTGGATGCCTTATTATGAGTCGGATATCCAACGGTGTCTACCACCAATGTTCTTTGAAGGAGCGGAGACATGGTGTGCCGTAACACCATTGCTCCATTTTGCAATTATTGAGATTCATGCCACCGATAGAGTTTTGCGACAATTTGGGTATCACCAACTAATAGAAATTTCAATATTTAACATTGGTGATTTGCATAAAATAGATGCGTGTGGAAAACATAACGAAGATTGGTCGAGGAAGCATGTTACATTCATACATCAATGACAAAATAGACATTTATGATTGTCTAATCGTTCTGAGGTACAACCCAAAGATTTTGATTTCAATGTTTCTCCTTACCTCTAAAATTATGAAACAAATGGGAAACCATACTTGAACACGCCGGAGGAGCGGTCTGAGTGGGAAATAATGAAGGCAAAATATGGAAGAAAAAAAATCATTATCTTCATCAACATCTTCATCTTATGATTCCGCCAATTATTATCCATCGCAAGAAAGTTATGGTGGATATGGTGCATATCAACCATCGATGGAGAGTCGAGTAGCGTAGGAACGAAGTGGGTGGGATTAAGTGCCACTTTCACAATAATTTTCCTCGGAACTAAAAGAAAGAGGTCCATGAGATCATCTTCTTCATCACATACAATCTCAATTTGAGGCAACGACGTCAATGATGGCGTCAAATACCTTGAATACTTCATCGTTTTCACCCGAAGATGTAAATCAAAGTGGTGGAGTAATGTTTAGTACACCGGAACTGGAAGAAGATGAAAATTAAAAAGGCGGATGACCATGACAAAATCGACGAGCACCGCGTCATTAATATTCTACCACTCCTCGACATCGACAAGAATTGCGTAAATATAAGTAATAAATTTGTTTATTTAAGTTTTTGTACTCAATATTTAATTGTAAAAAAATCATTGATAAGTAATAAAATTTAATTACAAAAATTTCATTCATATTTAGTGCAGTTTATAAAAGTACAAGTAGTGCAAATACTTCTAGAATGGGTATCGGTATTTCCTTTATTATTTTCAAATAAAATTAGTAGTTACTAGCAGTTGGGGCTGACAGTATCGATACTATGACCATGGTATCGATACTACTATGTAAACTTGTATCGGTACCCCCTTGGGTATTGATATCTATTTTGCATTCTGGAATTTGAGCAAGCTGGTAGTATCGATACTTTTCTTACTTAGGGTATTGGTACTACATGAACAATATCAATATTGTTCATATAGTATCGATACTGTCAGAACAGTATCGATACTTTATACGTGAATTTTGAATTTTTTTGAAAACTTTTGAAGACTTTGAACAAATTCAATAAAGTCCAAAAACATTTTTTCCCTTAATTTGTTATATCAAAACATGGTTCAACATAATACAAGTTAAAAAACATAGTTAAAAAAGACATAGTTACAATACAAAAAAATACATAGTTAAAGTACAAAATATTTTATAACGCATATTTTAGCATCCATCTCGATATTTTGGAAGATGTGGACAATATTTTTTGTTATGACCTTCACCTCTACAGTGGCCACAAAGTTTGGGTAGACCTGGCTCTCTTTGTAGATCATCCATATCGGTATGAATTCGACTAGATTCAGGTCGACCTCGTAACTTCCTACGCAATTGAGGATTTGGCAATCATTCCTTAGAAATTATGCATGTAGGCTAGTATGCTTCATTTGGGAGGTACTTGAACTCACAACTATAAATGTTGTGCATAGTGTGCAAGCTATAACAGTTATCATCATATATGTATGGGTCAATATTGATGTCCATACATGCAAAAACAGCGTGAGCGCATGGGAACCTAAAAGCTTGAAATCGACCACAATCACACCATCTTCTATTCAGTCTACCAGTGATATTGTAGAATTACCTCCCTCATATGGTCGAACTAGTGCTTGGACAACGAAATCAGAATTAAGTCTGGAAAAATTATGGACAAACATCAATGTCATGTGTTTGATTCTTTTGCATTGCCTTCTCTAAATCTAGAGCCCAATTTCTCCCATCGTTGATCATGTTATCAATTTGTGCACTTTTGTCTACCCATACTTTACCCAACCTAAAGTAGGTCTCCCTAACAATACTTGCTATCGGGAGATGTCGA